CCCCAAAACCCCAAAACCCCAAAACCCCAAAACCCCTAATTTTGATTATAAGTTGAAAATTATTAATATCTGTCCCATTTCCTGGGTTTATTCTTTGACCTAAGTTTAAGCTCAGCTATTCTTCTCTTCTCACGTTCAAGTAAGATCACATTTTCTCTCTCAAGTTCTTTCTTCTTATTTTCAAGTGTTCTGATGTTATCTATCTTCATTTTCTTCTCAATTTCCTGAGACTTAAGACTTAACTGACATTGAAGGTCTTCAATCTTATTCTTGTATTTTCTGATGACCTCATATTGAGTATCTATTTCTTTCCTTGCCATATCTGGATGGGCGCTCCATGCAGAGATAGTAGCATTCACCAAATTCCTTACATTTTCTCTCTCTTCTATCTTCTTTAACTCTTCAGGAGGAAGTTCAGCAGCTGTTGCTTGAATTCCAATTGAAGCTTGAGAAGCCACAGGTTGAACCATATCAGGAAGGTTTAAGTTCTGATCTCCATCAAATTTCTGAGCTGCTTCAAACAGTCCTTCAGCTTGTGAGCTCTCAGCAACACTTCTCATATCCTCAGTCTCACTAAACTTATCACTCTGACTGGGATTAACTTGGAATTCAATTCTGTCATCTCCTATCTTAAACTGTCTTGGCTCCAAAACTTGGCTGTCATCAGTCTCGGCAGGTTCATCGAGCCTATGAGTAAACTCTTGAGGTTCTTCGTCCAAGATAGGAGCCTCTTTAGTTTCCTCCTTCTTCTCAGGTGTATCTGGGAATTCCTGGTCACTTTCAAGGGCTAAAATTAGCAACTTGGCTTACCATCGAATTCTTGTGTCTTATCAACTTTGTAGTCAATCCTGTTATCTCCTAGTGTGAACTCACTTGGAGCTAGATCTGGTCTTCCTTTATTCCTTTCCAGTAACTCTTGTGCTACAAGTTGTTTCTGAGGGGTAAATGCTCCTTCGATCCTGGTTGTGACACCCTGAGTGAGACTTCCTAAAATATTAGCTAAACATACTCTGCTGAATTTGTTGGTTCTCAGCATCTATGAGTTTCTGTCTCTCGGCTCTCTGTTGGGCATCTATTTTAGCCTGTTTGGCTGCTTCTGCTTCAACTTCTTCAAGGATTTCTTCTAATTTATTTATCTTCTCTGGTCTTTTTAACCTGGATCTTCTCTTCAACAATCTTGGTTTTAAGCTTGTCGATTACATTTTGGGCACTAGAGTAAAACGTTTAGGGTACTTTAGAAGGCTTTTACGAAGCCTAGTGCTCATTTCAACTTCATTTATGCTCTTGGACTTCAACTTCCCGATTATTTCGTCCTTTCCAGAGAGTTGTGCTTTTAGATCGGTGATTCTAGTCTGAAGTTTTGTTATTTGCAACCTAAGCTTAGTTGCTTTATCCTCTTGAGGAGTAACCCCAGTCCCGTTATTTTTACAGGAGTCTGATTCACTCAAAATCTCATCCAAATCCAAGTTCTTAGCTATGGAAATTACTTTTTAAGCCTACTTTTTGAAACTTTTTTAGGTGGAGGATTTCTTCTTGCCTCACTCATGCGCTCTTTCTTTATCTTCCCTAAAAATTCTCTTAAGCGGTTAAACTCAGTTTTAAGCAAAGTCTTATCAGTTTTCTCTTGGTTTAACTCTCATTTAAGATGACGGATCTCTTCCTCCAATCTTTCTTTGTCCTTGGGAATGGCAAGAAAGCTAGTTGATTGAGACAGATGATGCCCGCTCTTGGGTCTTTGACCAACCTCGCTTTTAATCAATACACCTGTAGTCTCATCTCTATGAAGATTACTGAGTTGTTACTTGTTCATCTTCATTTTGTTGTTCCGTACTTTGAGACTTTTGATTACCCTGTCTTTTTGGTTGATCTTATTCTTGAGATCTTCAACCATCTGAATCAGGTCTTCCTTGTTCTTGCTAGTAATATTGGTATAGCCTCTGATCTTCCCCTGGCTAGCTCTTCTGTACAGTTTTGAGCTTTCAAAACTAGAGGTAAAGCGGGACCCTTACTCGTTGATGTCCTCGTCAACAGTCATCTTATACGTATTGTAAATCTCATCATTCAACTTTTGGTTCTAGATTTAGAGGAGACGAGGTACCATAGATGCATTATGAGTCCGATTGATCTGATCAATATACTTCATCGCATCATTACTCTTGAATGTAGTCCTTTTCTTGTTCTTTCCTACTGTCTTTTTGACCACATTTCTTTTCCTCGGCTCTAATTTGGTTATTAGTGATACTTACTAATATCAGTGAAGCTCCATGAATCCTTCTCTGCAAAAGTTGGAGGAGGCTCAAAGTTATCATCATCTCTCATTGAATTCTAAATGATTATTAGGAGGCTTTACCTCTTCAACAATAGTTGGCATTCTCTGACTATCATTATGAAGGTTGTAAGTTTCTGCTGGATCATAGTTGCTATCCCCAAGGTCATAAAAGGAGGGGGTGTCAAACTCAGACCTCACGAAGGTGTCCATTTAAATTTATATTTAAATTTTCTTACAAGGGGTTTTGGGGTTTTGGGGTTTTGGGGTTTTGGGG